GCCTGCCATTTTCGGTAACACGAGTATAATGGTGTGTGGTGACGTTGGCAACCGGGACTGCGTGTCCCAAGGTAAAATCCATTTCTAATTTTGCGTAATCTAGTTTCTAAAATTATTCATAATTTAATCTTTATGTTTTCTATTATAAATGAGAAAAATTATCTAAACGGTATCTAGATTTTTGAAAGGACCATAAATTGAGTTAGAAAGGATTCTCAAAGCTTTCCTAATCACACCATAGGTAAGAATTATATGTATTCCGTACGGAGACATAAATTATATATTTATGTAAATGTGTATATGTACAGTGCATTGTGTGTGAATGTTTAAATGTATGTGTAGTATAATACGAATATACTTAGTATGTCTAATTTATATTTGTTTGTGTTTATATAGTGTATATATATATGTTGTTATGCATGTGAGTATATATATGAATTGATAAGAATAGAATTGATAAGAATATAACTGATAAGAACAAATGCGTGAATAAATATATATATATATGCTATGTTGTGTGTGATTATATATACGTGTTTAAGCATGAACATGTGTGTATATATCAGTAGAGATTGTGTTTGTATGAATATAAATATATATTCTGTGTGAAGCATGTAGTGATGGTATATGTGTATATTATAATATATGTGTGTACATTTGTTATGCATGTGAAATGTATAATCAGTGTGTGTACGTGTGAAATTTGGGTGCATTGCATTGGCTGTGTGATCTGGTGTAGATGTACAGTACACTGTACTTGCTGTGTAATCTGGTGTAGATGTACGGTGCACTATACTTGCTGTGTGATCTGGTACAGTTGTGCGAGAAATCTGAGGATCCTGTACTTGTTGTATGATCCGATACAGAATAATTCAAAAAGTGAGTTGAAACGTATAAACCTTATGTACGTGATGATATTGTGTATTTTGTGTGTGTGTTTATGTTTAATTATATATAGAAATTAAGATCTTAGGTAAGAGATAAGTGAATTAGAAATAAGAGAGATTTGGAAAGAATGTAGAGTGTAAGGACCTTGAATACCTATTTGTTTAGTCTGAATCAAGGAGAGAAGGGTGTGTGTGTGGCTGAAGTTCAGCAGGTATGGTGAACCTGCACATGAATAGAGTTTGAAACCTAATCCATACGTGGATAGGTATTTGTGAGTGTGGGTCACCCAACAAACGTAACTGTTGTGGTCATTGTGAAATTTATGTATGTGTGTGCTATCCATACGATAGAGGGATCCATTTCGCCTCTCCTCGATGACGATATAAACGACACCGCGCTATGGTAACCTAATTAAGCTTTAAAAGACTAAATAATGTGAAATTATAAATCCAAGTGGAGTGATATGTGTGTGTGAGTAAACTCGTTTTGGTTTGAGGAATTTGTGGATCCATGAGTGTGATTTGAAAGGATAATAAGAATTAGATTAGAAGAGTGAGGATTAGAATATATTTTTGTGTGATGATTTATTTTGTTGTGTATTTTGATTGTAATGCTTGTTTGACATTTTTTTTAATGATAAAAATTATTATATTTAACATATTGCGTGAATGTATGTATATAAGTCTTCATTATAAAATTCTTTTTCTTACTGAGCTCGTGAATCTCACTCTAATTCACCCACATCCATGTCAAATGAGATGAGGAACAAGTTCAAGATCAATAGAAGATGGTGAAGAAAAACCTTATTAATTTCTATTTTAGATTTGTAAATTAATTTAGATGCTTCAATTATTTGTAAACAAATAATTATTTTGTCACAAGGGATGTGTATTAAAGTGTAGTTTTGCTGCATATTTAATATTTATATGTTCTACTAGTTAAAAATGTTGTACTAACGTCCGTACTCACTGACATTGGGATTCGAGATGTTACAATGTGTCTAAGGAAAATAAGTTCAATTTAAGTTAATGTCCTAAGAATGACTTCAAAAGTAAATAAATGTAAAAGATTCTTTATGCTTCAGTTGTAGAAAGTCTTATATACGTTCAAGTTTGTACGTGTCTGGATATTGCGTACATTGTTGGAATGTTAGAGAGATATTTGAACAACCCAGAAATGAATCATTAGAAAACAACCAAACGAGTCATGTGGTATTTATAGAAAATAAAAGATTACATACTCATATACAGGAGATCGGATCAGTTAGAGCTCATTGGTTATTCTGATTTTGATTTTTTCAGATATTAAGACAGTAGAAGATCCATATTAGGCTACATCTACCTACTTG